CAACTTTTCATAAGATGGGGAGAGAGAAAGTTATTCTGATAGATTCTATCCTTCCTTTTGGCTTTGAACTCTTGATGTGTGACACGGACATGGTTTGGTTGAAGGTACGTGTCTGTTCTGTTTATTTCGGATCATCAATCTTCATTGCATGCATAATCAACAAAAATTGGCTGCTTCACTGTAATGCCAAACAACTCTTTCTCATCAGCAACTTAGTTTTTGGGTGTAGAGTTGACTGTTTCACATTTCTGTGTTCTTGCAAAAGAACATAACATCTTTGTTTGAGGTTCCCGCAAGACTCCGTCACCCAGCAGATGACATCTTTTCTGTTTGAACGATATGCTCTTGACCATATAGCTTGATGTTCCAACTTCTAGGTTGTGTATCTGTAGTCCTTGTTCTGCACCATCCAGTGGTGATTGAGTTGTTAACAGCAATTACTAATGCTTAATGTAGTATCTGTGATTACGATGAAGTAATGGTCACTTGGCATCAACTACAACAATTATAATTAATGACGTCTGTATTACTCATAAAAAGGGGAAAAGGGATTGCTGTCTTTCTGGTCCTCTGTGCCTTGCCAGTGTTCCTTCTGGTGCAATAAATATTTCTGGTACTAAATTGTGAAAAACTGGTTTGGTAGACTGAATATCCAGTACAGAATTTTGAGAGATACGACATTCCCCAATAACCGATCTTTCCCGATCTCCTTGCTTGCATCATCAGTACCCTGTCCCATCTTCCATCGTGCTAAAGCTTTATTTTGTCTGTGCACAATGCTCTAGCCTATATATTCTGTAAAATCTGCCAAGATTCAGTTTGTATACTTTAAAAGTAGTAATGCATGTATGATTTTTCGTGTTGCTTGGTCTGTCTATCCCAATCTTTGTTTCAATCCATCATCCTTCCTTCTCTTACATTGCGAAAACAGTTAATCTAATACCTTTTGTTTTCTCTCTGAAAATAGAACCCACTTCCATATCTAGCTCGTTACCCAGAGGCAGATGTCTTAACATCAAGTGATCAAGTTGTCCCAACAGTCACTGATGACAGGCTGGAAATCTGGCAACAAGGTAAAGAGAAAAAGAATCTTTTTTTTACACGAAATCGCTTCTGCCATTGTGCCAGCAATTTTCAGTCCGGACTTTACCTAATTTCTCCTGGCCAAAGCTGGGATTGGTATGCCACTGCTTGACTGCCATGCAATCTAGTCATCAGCTTGAGTGCAGTGAGGTCATATTGGCTAGCAATTTCCCCATCCTTGTTTAGGTTTAGGGTCTCTAAAAATACTCATGTTGACATCTTCACATGTGTTAGGGAGTTACAAAAATTATTGACTTCCTGGAGTTCAAGTCTGACTCTCAGTATCAAGCTTTTGTTCTGTTGTTTGATTCAACTAACTAGCTATGGTGCAAATTAATGTCATGTGTAGTCTATCGTGTATGTTTGCTAATGCTATATTGACTCTACTGAAACATACTTCCTTGCCACCTTTGGCAGTTGGTGCTGCTTTCAATATAGGAATTTTCCACTGGAGGCCAACAGAGTCTGCAATGAAATTAGCGAAAGAATGGAAAGAGTTGCTTCTTGCTGATGACAAGATATGGGATCAGAATGGGTTCAATGATATTGTACGAAGGCAGTTTGGACCATCAGTTAATGAGGATGATGGACTTGCATATGCTTTTGATGGAAGTCTGAAGCTGGGGATATTGCCAGCCAGTATATTTTGCAGTGGTCATACTTACTTTGTCCAGGTACAAGCTATAATATTGCCTCAACTATTTGATTTCGCCTAGATAGATAATATTAGACTAACATGCATAATAAGCTGGACAAGTAAAATTCATATTACCACTGTGGCTTAAAATGTCAATTATATGTTGGCAGGCCATGCATCAGCAGCTCAGGTTGGAGCCGTATGCAGTGCATACCACATTTCAATATGCTGGTACAGAGGGCAAGCGTCACAGATTACGAGAAGCCATGGCTTTCTATGATCCTCCAGATTATTATGATGCTCCAGGTAATTGGCATTATTAGTTGTCAAATAGTGCCAACTTTTGGTATGCACTTTCTCATTACTTTAAATATTTGCTTATGAAACCAATGAAGTGTTGGTACAGTAGAATTTAGTCATTGAACCAAGAAAGGTCTTTCTGTGCATCAAAAAGATTTTGCCTTGTCGACACAACTTCACTTCGGTTCAATAAATTATCTGTTAGCTTCTTGGTCAGTTTGAATTCGTATTTTTATTGATATTTTGACATTTCTGGGCACCTGCTTTCTTAAGACGCGATGATTGAATTCACGCAGGAGGTTTCTTGTCATTCAAGCCATCTATCCCAAAGAATCTGCTACTGGATGGAGAGCATAATCTTGAATCTCACTTTGCTCTCGTTAATTACCAAGTACACATCGTCGCCTAATAATTCTAGTATTTCCACTTGAAATACTTTAGTGAAACTGATACCGGCCTCTTGGTATGTCTTTATTCAGATAAAACAAATAAGGACTGCGCTTGCAATTGCCTCCTTGTTAAATCGTACCCTGGTGAGAATAACTCTGCCACCCAAGTTCTTGGTTAAATTTTTGGGCAAACCTTAATTAATTTTGTAGACCTAGTTCCAAAGCATGATAATCTTTTCGTTGTATTCTAGTTAACTTCCTTCTTCAAGTTATATAACATGGGAAATGCTGTTGCATCTGATATTTCTCCAATTAACAGCTTATGTTTAATTTTATAAGTCAATAGAAGAATTATCTAGAACCCACAAATATGCACGGCACCATGTGTATTTTGTTTGAAATATAAGCTCTGTATGCAACCACTGTAAATTTGTTTATGTTGTTTAACTGATTATTCGAACATGAATTGAAGCTTCTGTCTTAAATTCCTTTGATTTGTTAATTTTCTTGTATAAATCCTTTGCTTCGTCAATTACAGGTCATGCCCCCGTTATGGTGCAGGTTGGATAGGCTATGGTTTCCTCATCCTGGAATTTTGCAAGGGACCCTGACTAAACAACCTTTTATCTGCCCTTTGGATCATGTGTTTGAGGTACAATTCTCTGATTGCTCAAAACTGATTTGTGTATGATAGACTTTTACTCTTTAACTTTGAGCTTGATGTTTCAAATATAGCTGGGTCTTATGCTTCTCATGTCCCTTCATGAAGAAATGTTTGTGATATATTTTCTAGAAATTTTGACCCCTGATAGTGAATCTTCTGTTGTTTGAACGCCGAAGATATAGTTTGTGCTGTTGGGAAGTTGATGGAAGTTCTTCTACATCTTAACCTCGGGCTTTAGCTCAGTTTTCTTGTTGGTCATATGCTGTATTCTTTCCTTTCAGCTCTTGGTTTCCCTAATTTCATGGCACCCATCTCCCATTCTTTCATTTTTACCCTCCTGTCATTGTCTCTCCAACATAACCCGCATTCATTTCAGTGTCTTGTAATTCTGGTATAATTGCCATGTACAAATAGCCAGATTCGGGTTTGGTGAACACGTTGAGTTAGTTCCATTTATTAAGAGAATCAAAAACGATAGTCATTCAATCTCTCCTCACTTCACTCTCTCTTGCTTAAACTTGCTCTTGCAATATAGGTCAATGTCATGTTGAAAGAGCTGCCAGAAGAGGAGTTTGGCCCTGGCATCAAAATCAGGGAGTACTCTTTCCTCGACAATCCTTCACTGCCAGACAATGTAAGGATAAATATGTGTTAGTGAAGCCAGTCTTAGTCCAACAACGGTGCTTTCCCATGACTTCGGTTGTTGCTAAGGTTATTTACTTGTGGACATGTATAGGTGAAGCAGTCATGGCTTGATGTTCAAATTTGTCAAGAAGGCAATCAAGGTTGCAACGGTTCCAACACTACACCAGGAACACTCAGATTCCCAAGACGAAGCAATGAAGAAATGGTACTTTAGACTTCTAGCTATTATAGTTCCTTCAATATTTTCTCTTGATACCCCGTTAAACACATTTCATTTCCACATCACAACCATATTTGCTGCCTTTTGATTTTTCTCCTTCGAAAAATTAAGTGAAGGCGATCAAAATCTTAAAATTATGTTCACACCAAGGCTTTTATATTGTCCACCCATTTTTTTTCCTCACCATTGAAAACTACTCGGATGCAGTTTAGGGCCACGTTCGATTCTTTCAAAGATGTCAAAGTTATTCAGTTCTCTTCGATGCAAGATACATTCCTCGGTTTTACTGACAAGGCAAGTGGTTCCCTTTTACCCTTTTACCTTGATATGATATTGAAGTTCAGTTCAAAACCAATTTTTCCAAAAAGAGAGGAACTGGCCAGTCTCTAAAATGGGTTTGCTGTTTGAGTTGCTGAATGCCGAAAGACTTATGTTTCAACATTTTCTTGCAGGGAAGGGACGATAAATTTAGGAATCGGGTGAAACGCTATGTAGGCATATGGTGCTGTGTGGACAGTCACACTCCAGGACATATATATTACGACATGTATTGGGACGAGAAACCCGATTGGAAGCCGATCCCACCATTGACGCCCGAAGATGATCACCCGAATTGGTAAAGAACTAGGCTAACATCAGCTGCACTACACTTACTTTTTGCGGATATCCCACTGTAAGGAGCCCCTAGCGATGGGGGGGAACGAGATCATGTTGAAGCAGAAGGCCAGAAGCTCGACGAGCTGGTTCAGAAAGACAGACGCGGAAACAGACTTTGATTAGGATAGCATTACTTTGAAATTTGGTGATTGCTCTTATGTTAACACATAATATTTAAATTGAAGAGATCATGTAACTGTGATTAATAGGCCAGAAGGGCGTATCTTGTTAAGCAAAACTTTGGTTCAGTACAGTACAGATAAAAGGCTGGATGATGTATTCTCATCTTTGTACGATAACCGGAAAACGGTTCTGGAATCTTTCTTGTATAACACATGGAAAATGAAGTGGTTCTCTTTATACTAATTGCCAGAAGAAATGAATGAAAATTGATCGTCTTTGTAACTGTAGTGGTATGATTCATTGATGTAGCACATTGCTTTGCAAAATGCACTTGACGGGCATTAGGATACTTGGAACCCTACATGAAACAAACATGCTATAAAACAACACAAACACCCCCTGCCTGTAAAACATGCTTTAAAACGAGAATCCATCAAAGTCTGCATAACCGAGCACGAAACTAGCAAGTTCCTAAAACGTCGTGCCCCTGCCTATAAAACAACACAAACACACGCCGTTCGACAGCACTCACTGAGGCTTTGGTGATTAACAAGCCGCCTAAATCAGATATGACACTCTTGACATGGAGGGTCGAAAACTCTCTTAACGTTACATTCCGACTTGCATCAAAAAGGTTGAGTCACCTACTACTGCTGTCAATGAACAAAACTGGCAGGAACAAGAAACAAAGCTACTAGAGAATAGGTGTTGCAGCAAGCACCATCACAGCCACTACTATGGATTACTTATAGCTTCAAAACAGAAACGCTCAGCAAACTCTTCAACAGGAGAATCAAGTCAAGGACTATGATTCAAGTTCTGACTATATGATCACGAACGAATAGTCCTGCCGCACAATCACTCCAATCAAAGGCCCTGAAATTTGCAATTCATCATCAGACAACGAGAGATGACGAGGAGAACAAATCAAAATAAGGGGCTTTGAAGCTAATGTTTGAAGCAGTTTGGTACCACTTAAAAAAGTACCGATGATATCGACTCACTCAAGCCGGTAGATGCATAGATGTCCAGTGATCAATCGTCCAGGTAATAATATGAACCAGCATGTTTCTGTTCTCTGTCTTTGGTCGAGTCCAGCTTGTTGATCCTAGGCCTGAAATTCGTAGGGTCCCGACGGAATGTGATATCCAAATGCTGCATCAAATAGGAGGTGGATCAGTTTTAGTTCCAATAAAAAAATTTGTAAAGAGAAGTTAGCCAAACATAATGCAACCCTTGCTTGACGTCAAAAAAATAGATAGGTGAACAAAAAAATTCTCAGTAAGCTATAACAAAGCCATAATCAACCTCATCCAACATTCCCAACACAGACATATAGCCATATAGGTAACTTCATACCTAGAACAAATACCAACTAAATAGATGAGAGAATGAGAAGAGTTTGGATGCCCTTACAGATAGGAAAAGGTTCATCCCGGTCAGCAATGACTGGGGTGAATTGGCTACACAATCCACAGATGGCCGTCCCTCATAAACGATGACTCTGTCGGCCAAATAAGTAGCCATAATAAAATCATGTTCCACAACAAATGCCGTCTTCTTTGCATGAAGGATAAACCTCTTTATGACTTTCGAAGCAACAATACGCTGCTCAGAATCGAGGTATGCGCTAGGCTCATCGATGAGATAAATGTCCGCAGGCTGCATCCAACCAAGCAATACAGGTAAGAAAATCATATAACCATCAAGGAGACAGGGACCATTGCATATTAAGAATATTATTTCAAACATAAAAATACATATAAAGTGAACCAATCCAGTTCAATGAACAGCACCATTCATCTTAAGAGTTATTTGAAAAACGTAAAGCTACTCAGCAGTAACTATGCAGAACACTCTATGGATAAAAAAAAGAGGGTACAAACGAAGCATTTGGAAAATACCAGAAAAACATCTCGTTCGTTTAAGCTTTCTTCAGGGGAAGGATAAGGAAAGCTAATAGTAAATGCATATATCCTTGCAAGTGAGCAATTCTAAGCTAAAACTTGGAATTATCGACTATGGATGTTTCAACTTAAGTAGACAAGGGGGCCACTAGTCTTACATGCATGTGCATATATCTTGAAACTGAAGTGTGAGTGAAGATGTCATCATCTATTATGTACGAGTAAAATCCAAAAAAAGGAAGAATGAATCCAAAACCCAATTATAAGCGAGCTGTAAAAAAGAGTTCTCAGAACCTATAATACAAGTTCTGTCATCATATGAATAACACAGCAAGATAATCCTAAGTAACTCAGACTGGGAGTTTCGTCAGCAGGAATCACCACAATTTCTCATATACTTGTTGAGCGAGAACATCTAATTTTGGAAAACCAAATGAGTGATCCATGTGTAACACAAAGCCACGGCACAGAAGAATAGAAAACGACATTAATCACACATATGTAACACAAACCCACAGGACAGGAACAATTATCGATAAGGTGAAATGACACTGCAAAACAAATGCATTCGGAAGGTAAAGTTTAAGTCTCAACCATATGCTAGCAAAGTAGAAGCTTCTAACCTTCCCAAGACAGAGACATAATGCAACTCTTTGCAATTCTCCTCCAGAGAGATTCACTACTTCTTGGTCCATCAGTTGTTCAATGAGCAGAGGTTTCATGACATCTGAAACAAACTGTGGATGCATGTAGGAATCCCGTATCTTGGAATGTAGCAGATGCCTCACAGTATTTTGAAACTTAGGACTGATCTTTTGTGGCTTGTAAGAAACATTAAACTCCGGTATCTCCACCTCTGAAGCTTCCATATCATCAGGTTTAAGTAAACCAGCCTGCATAACTTCTGGTCAGGGAATTGATTGGCAGTGAAATGAGATTATTCAAAACTAAGAATGATATAAGCAAATGAGTACCAGCATCCGGATAAAGGTTGTCTTTCCTGTCCCATTCTCTCCCAGCATAACAATAATCTGAGAATCAGTGAATTCACCCTCCACAACGCGGAGCCTGAAACCGCCCTGGGTTTTGGACATTGATGGGTACTTATATCGTGCATATGTTTCAACTTCTTCAGCACTCTCCTGGGGAGTCTCAGCTACCTGTTTAAGGCAACCAAGTGAAATGTGTAAATGTCAGAGAAGGTCAGCCAAATTGTTCCATGTACGGCTCATTGTTTCGGTTACCTTGAAGGTCAAAGATTCGTCCCGGAATCTCAAGTTTTCAGTAGGAACAAATCCAGCCAGGAATATATTGATTCCTTCCCTAACAGAGAAGGGCAAGGTGACAACTCCATAGGCACCAGGTTTTCCATACAAGCAGCAGATGAAGTCGGACAAATAGTCCAGGACACTAAGGTCATGCTCCACAACAATCACAAAGCTGAAATAAATTGCAAATTGTACATAAGCGCAACAGATCCAGGAGGACAACGTAAGGAGAAAAAGAAAAGTAAACACAGAAGAAGATGAAACCTGTTTGCGCGGAGCAGAGATCTAACAACTTGGGCAGCTTTGAGCCTCTGCTTGACATCAAGATAACTTGAAGGTTCATCAAACATGTAAATCTCTGCACTCTGTATGGCAACAACAGCAATTGCAAATCTCTGTAGCTCTCCACCAGATAAATCCCCAACATTGCGATCGATAACCTGATTCAGCTCAAGATCCGCACAAAGCTCCGCTTTCATTCCCCTCTCATCTTTCTGTTCAAGCACCTGTCCTACATTTCCTTGGACTGCTTTCGGAATGTGGTCAACGTACTGAGGTTTTATGATAGCCTGTTGAACAATAAACATAATCTGAGAACCAAAAGTCTACTCATTTTAATGCTAAAACTCTAGCTACCATGCGTTTCTGGAATGTACCAGCTAGACTAACTCTAGCTAACAATTGTCATCTATACCATCCAAGGATTAGGGACTAACCACTTCATCTCTGGTTAACGCCATATATATCAAATAATACTAGAAAGCCACAGAAAACAAGAGATTTGCTGAATGTACTTAATAGAGCTACCTTCAAATTATCTTCCAAAATGCGAGTGAAGTAGTTCTGGAGCTCAGATCCTCTAAAGTGAGTCAATATTTCTTGCCAATCTGGAGGGTTCTGAAATGAATAGCCAAGGAACATCCACAATGTAAGTTAGTAATAAAGAACATCCAGCGGAGGAACCCTGAAAAGGAAGAGGCAAACGTCATTATTACATTGAAACGGCCCAGATTCGGCTTCAGCTTTCCAGCCAGGATCTTAAGTGCTGTTGACTTCCCAATACCATTGGTTCCAACCAAGCCGAGAACCTGCCCGGGCCTGGGCACTGGTAGCCTACAAACGCCACGTTGAGAATGTCAAAGAATGAAACGGTACAAATCCCACCAGTTGTCCCTGGCAAGTGGGTTTTCTGCCCAACCTGTGCAGTTTGAAGGTATTGGGCCCATAACGGTGAGTGGTATCTTTCTCCAAATCCTTTGGCAGGTTGATGATCTGAATCGCCTCAAACGGACATTTCTGGATTGGCAGAACAATCACCCATTCAGGCTAGCTGACGACTCGAAACGAACAAGAAACCAGAAAGTTATTCCAGTCAAACTGTGCAAACCTTAACACAGATACCGCACCCAATGCACAATTCCTCAGAGATGAATGCTATCTTAGATGAAGAAGCAACCTCAATACACAACTTTCCTGTTCAAAAAAAAAAAAAAATTACAACCCCGATGAGGGAAAAAAAAAAACACAAAGCAGCTGCAAGGATACATGATAAACGACAAGAAAAGCTCGTTTCCATCATCGAGTCGTTCCAATCCAAATCCACCAAAAATCCATAGAGTAAATTGAGCATGGAACTACAGAAAACCAAAACGAGACCGCCTCTCCAAATCGTATAGAACCAGAAACAGATCGCAAAAGAGAAGGGGATAGAGTTGGGGGAGGCAAACCAGTTTTCACAACTGGACAGCTCTTTTTACACTCCTGGCGGCACTTTTTCGGCTTGCAGCGATCGGGAGTGACAATCGCGATTCTCGTCAGACGATCCGACATCTTCTCGGCGACGAATTTTCTCTCCTACTCCCCGTGTTCTGTTGCCGCTTTGCTCTCTCTGATAATCGGGAAACAGACACGGAGTGAAGAAAAACCCTAATTATAAATCGAACAACTGAAAGATTTGTGGAAGGAATTAGGAAAGGATAGGCACAGCCGCCCTTACGCTGAAGAGAAACGGGCAGAGAGAGAGAGAGAGATTCGAGTTCGACGCGAAAACCTACGGCGCACGGCTAACACACTCCTCCTGCTCAATGTTTATGCTATCAATTGAACCCCCGGTCGACCCGGACAGTTGAACCTGTTGGTTGGACCTCGAGTCGGGCCTTTGACCGGCTGGATAGGTCCCGGGTCAGAAACCGAAATTAATCAGATTGGTTAATAATCCCAACTATATTAGGATTAAGAGTTCAATTAACCTAACCCTTGTACGGCAAGCAAATAGGAATTGTTCTTCTTTGCTTGGGAAGAACAATGGTGTCACTTAGTTTTTTTTTTTTTTCTAATAAGGGAATGAAAAACCTAGAACAGAGGAACAAATAGTAGGAGCCAGACAACGGGAACTAGTGAAACAAATGGAGCTTCAATAGTTGTGAACTTGATCAACAAGCAATTAGATCATTGTCTTCTTCCTCATCCACGATATCGTTCGCAACATCCTCAAAATGCCAGTCTTCTACATAACAAGATTCGTTTTATGACAGGTCTGTAAACAACGTGCTGTGTCAGCGAACAAACCCTCCGAAAATTGGGGAGAAGCTGAAACTAACCAGTGCTCCACCAGAGCTTCAGTGATGGCAATCTCACACCCATAAAGAAGGAGACAACGGCTCGTTAAGAAGATGAAGGCGCGAGGCAACTCCGACATCTCTCAAGCATTGATCGGATTCAGATTACAGAACTAGTTTTCAACCCGATCCTGCCGGAGGTTACAGAGCGGGCTACTGTGTGTTCGTCGGCACAGAAGGAGAGTGTTGTGCTGTCCTACCACCCAAAAAGCAAAATGATTACGAGACTTCAAACAAAATGTGAGGAAAAAGGTCCCTGCAGAAAGAAACACTGATTTTGGAAGAGAGAAATTCAGGGAAACAAACATAACAAGAAACAAACATAAGAATTGCAGTAACCACATTATCCTCCTAGAAAACCCATGGCACAGGAGTTCTTCTGTACAAGATATACCAAGGCCGCAAATTCATTTCGGCCAGAGCTCAGAGGCCGGGATCAGCCCCCAAAAAACATTAATCTCTGTTTAGAAACTTGATCAAATAGCATACCGATATCAGCCAACAACACAAGACATAGATCATCAACTTGTTTGAGTTTTATTGAATTGTGAGATGCAAAGGATGAACGTCTATGGATATAGAAGTTTTCTTAGTCGCCCACCCATGGCATCTGGTGTGTGTTATCGATCATTTCCACTTCTTGAACTTGCCTCCTCCTCCGAACATTCCGCCCTTCCCCTTCCCGTGCTTCCCGTGCTTGAACTTGCCGCCATGCTTGAACTTGCCTTGCTTCCCGTGGTTGAACTTGCCACCATGTCCATGCCCATACCCGCCGCCATGGTAAACACCACCACCATGGCCGCCACTGTAGCCGTAGCCACTCTGGCTAACATGGTGAACACCCATAGCAGCTGCAGCTGCTGCTGCACCCCCAGCAATCACTGCCCCTAGCCCGCCATGTCCTGGGAACGTATCCTCATTAGTAATCAAGAATCAATAATGTTTACACAAAGAAATGCTCCTTTTACTACCAATCACTAATCCCACAATTCAACTCTGTAATCTCCACACCATTGAGAGAGCAAAGGTTTCAAATCGAACAAGGCCCTAAATACAAGAACACAACCAGCAAGATTTACCCACAATTCAACTCAGTAAACTCCACCATTGGGTGTCAAAACTGCAATTCCCTAGAACAGCCAGAGTGCAACATAATTGGAAAAAACGGGTGATCTGGGCCCAAACAGAAACATCCCATTTCACAAACAACACAATTGAGCAGCAAAAAACCATCACAAGCACCAACAATCACACACAGAGATACACACAAACATGATACACCATTTGCCAAAACAACCCTAGTTCCGAGTCAATGAGCAATATCCCAGATGTAAAGCTGGAACATTTACCAGTTTGGTGAGACGATCCAGAGGGGTAACCAGCAGGAGGGTAGCCCTGAGGAGGATACCCTTGTGGAGGGTAGCCCTGCTGCGGCGGATACCCTTGAGGCGGGTAGCCGCCCTGTGCTGGAGGGTAGCCGTGAGGAACAGGAGCACCAGGGTAGGCACCAGGCGGCGGAGGGTAGTAGGCACCAGGTGGAGGAGCTCCATGTCCTCCCAGATGACCAAACAATCCCTTATCTTGATCCTCACTGTGCTTATCTTTCCCACCTCCCATTGTTTTGCTTCTCTGTCACAACCCAGAAATCAAAATCAAAACCGTCAAAAGGAAGAATAACAGAGCTAGAACCGGATACGAAAGAGAAAAACTGGAAAGAACCCAGAAAAGGGTTTTAAATGCAGAAAAAGGGTCTAAAGGGATTTGTAGATCTCGTGATGGGTGGAAGTGGGAAAGGGGAAGAATGGGTCGCTAAAGAGATCACAGAAACGCAAGAAGACTGTCGACATCGGAGTTAGAACGGATTACTCACCGAGGTAGGGGAGATTCGGCTGTAGTTTTCGGCGCTGTTTCTTGTATTGAGACTTGAGAAAGATTTCTTGCTGAAGCGCAACGCCGGAAATCAAAGAGAGATCTTCGATCGTTGAAGTCTATTTATATACTACAAATTAGTGGATTAATTAATTCAAATATACGATTGACAACAACTGGGACGTGAACGACTGAACGTGATCCATTCCATTTTGCCCAGTAACTGTAACCTCCCTTGTTTATTAAATAAAAAAGTAGATTTTTTATGTAGGTGATATATATTTTTGTCGTTAGGGGTTAAAATGTCCATTGACTTTATATTACAACTGGATCACGTCCTTAATTGGGATTTTTTATATTAATTTATTGGTCAAACATTTCAAATTATCCGTCAAATCTTTCAAAATACAAAATATTAGCCGAATCTTTTGTAACGTATCAAAATATTAACCATTTGTTTGTTACCATTAATAATTTTTTTTAACTATATTCCTAATTCAAATACTGAAATTTTGAAATGTCGAACGTCACATGTCTTGTCCAACTCAGCTTCATGTTGCCAAATCAGCATTACTAACAAAATTACTAACACGAAATTAACGGTTGGTTATCGTTGTTCCTGTTAGTGTGTGGTACATGATCCGAGATTGAACCTCTCCCAACAACTCGAGTTATTGGGATCAACTGGTTCTTGACATAGTATCAGAGCCTTCTAGGACCGAGAGGTCTTGTGTTCGATTCCCGGTGACCCCATTTGTTAAGCACATGGTATTCGGACCTGTGCAAATTTCAAACCCTTGTGAGTGGCTTTTGTTAGAGGGGATGTGTTAGTGTGTGGTATATAATCCAAGATTGAACCTCTCACAACAACTCGAGTTATTGGGACCAACTGGTTTATGACAATCATATACCTCCTACATACTAAAATGCATAAATTTCTTCATTGTAAAATACTTTCACCCACCCAATGTGGATCTAACTTTTTATTCACTCGTGGGATGTGGACGATTGGAACGGACTTCTGCGACTCTCTTTCTTCTTGGAATCCACACATCCCTTGTATCATTTTATGGACTACTAGCTTTGGAGAACGGGTTTTGGTTAAATTCAAGGTTGTCTAACTCGATTTAACCCGTTGGCCTAGTCGAACAAGTGGGTTGAGGGTTAATGCATACATGGTAAAACTCATTATATTGTTTATACATATATGAAATCTCATCCAACATATGAATAATAACATGTAACATTACACCAAAACAACATGGCGTACTTGGATCCAACATATAGTGAAAATTCACACATGCTTATATAACATTAATGTTCAAATGTTAACTTAGAATTTCAAAGATTGGGTTAAGCAAAAAGAAAAATCGGAAAATAAGCACATTTCTCAAAATAAAGGGAAAACAACGTGGTTTGACCTCCAATCTGATACCTTACAGTGGGTCGACCCGGAAGGTGTGTATACAACCCGTTTTTCTCACTGGATCAGGACCAACCGGCAGGTCAACCAGCAAGCTGGCAGCCTTGGTTCAGCCTCAAGGGCAAGTAAATGGAGTACCTTACACTAGCAGTCTAGCAGAGAGACCACATGCAAAGAATTAGTTGCAGTGTCATGGTTGGCATCCACAGACAAGATCAAGATGCTAGACAATAAGGGATTTTCTGTTATGTATTCTCCCTGCTACTGCAAGTATTTAGTTTCACAAGAGTGACAGTCATTTTCTTACACTTGTAACTTCTCCATGTAAAAGAATCGTTGAACTCTAGACATCATCAGGATCAGGGTGCTATGAAAATCTTTAGAATTCAATCATTCTCAATTTCCCCTGGTTTCGTCTGAATTCCAGCAACCTGCTTATCGAAGAAACTCGAGCAACCTAGAATTTCTACAGCAACCCTGATGGATCAATCATCTCAAGAGTCTAGACTTAAGAACAGAATAACAAGAACGATCTTAAGCGAGAATGCAACCCTGAGGAATGAGGATCCTATGAAACTCAAGCTCTACTCTGCTTTTCTAATAAAAGACGAGAAACGACGTCCTCCCCTGCGAAAAATGTTCACTTTCAAGTTGATTCACTCCCATTTCCTAGCCCAGCACAGTATGATACACAACCATGAACGCCAGAAGAAGATTCAAAGAAAGTGCCAAAGTTACCTTCTACCAGGAACAATTATGATAGTGTTGATGAATGACGACCAGCAACCGCTATCTAAATTCATTCAACAAGCAAGCAAGCACAAAGGAAAGTGGTTGCCCCACCTCAACGGAGAGGAGCCCCGCGAAAATATACCGAGTTTTCAATGCTTGTAGAAAACCAAAAACAATAGTTAAAGGTGCAGTTTGATATTGGAGATGGGTTTTTGCTACTTATGCATCCAAGCTGGAAGAGCACTTTGAAGTCTTACTACGTGGGTGAAGCCAGGCAGGCAGGCATACTTCAGCGAGATTTGACGAATTGCTGGGAGAGCAACTTTGCTATTTCAGGGATACCAACTCTTTCCTTGCCAGCCAGTAGCGCTTTCAGCTTATCTTCAGTGAAATTATCCTTCTTCATACCAGGATTCTGCAAGCAAAATGCAAGTGTTGGAGTAATGATTACTCTTACAGTTTACCCATCAAGCACCCAGCTTGAACTGAATCCGACTTAGGGCCACAACTCAACGCCCTCTGTGAGACATTTTATCGAACACTTAGCGGACAGCTTCAAATTTACAAGACATTCGACGAAGAAATCATGAGAAAGAGACGGGGAACGGACCTGGCGATTGTTGAGCTTGATGAACCGGGAGATGAGCTTGGAAAGATCGGAACGAGTGGGTTCAGGAATCCCAAGGAACTGACCCAACTGAGACGAAGAGGGCGGAGTGACCTTCGCTTTGATTTGGGAATTCACGATGCTTCCTTTTGATGCGTACGCCGGGTGCTGCACCAATGCCTTCTTCAGCATCTTTCCTACCGCCATTCTCTTGCTTCTCGTCGGCTGAAATTTTCGGGTCGAGTAGAGGATTCCAGTTCGCAGATTCCGTAGTTGCTCCAAGTTCACAACTAATTTAACGGTGCAGTTGCCAGTTGGAGGTTTGCACATTTGTCCTCCTAGTTTGGACATTTTACATTTAGCTCAATCTCAATTATTTAATTGCTTTTTTATACCTTTCAGTAGGGCTGGGAAAATAGACTACACCGTTAGAAAAATCGTGGTCCAAACCGTACCGTACAGTTTGGTCCGGACCGTAGACCGTTAAGTATGGTCTGGTCTGGTCCATGGTCTGTACTATTTTATATTTTGATCTCTTGGTCTGGTCTAGACCGCGATTTACCGGACCAAACCGTAGACCCAACTGACTTGTAAATACGTGTTAACAGCCCATTCGACCACTTCCCAATTCCCAAAACGACACCCAAGTCTCAACCTTAGTTATGTGATTCTCGTCCCCCATTAATTCACAACCACATTTAACTAGAGAGTAGAGATAATCGTGTCTCCATATGACATTATGTTAATGTTTATGACGTTATGGTGCAAGTTGGGATGCTTTTACTTTGTACCTTTGGTATGTACTAAGATTTAGAGTATCAAAATTATTCATGCATGTTAGGATTAATGATTTAAGGCAAATAAAAGTTATTTTTCCTGGTTATTGGTTCAATTTTTTGTGTGGTTGACTAAACAAATTATTCATTTTTCGTTGAGTGTGGTCTATCTGGACCAGACCAGACCGAACCAGACCACACAGGCGTGATGTGGACCGAACCGTATAGTCTGTGGTCTGGTCCGTGGTCTATACTTTAACCTCTCAGTCTGGATCATAGATTAGAGGTGGCAAATGGATTGGATTGGTGGATCCATGGATTAAATGGATTGGATCAAGTGGATTGGTGGATTCATGGATTGGATCAAGTGGATTGGTGGATTATCCATGAATCCAAATGACATCCTCAACCAAGGACCAATATGTAAAATGTAAAAAGTTTAGGTACTAAAATGTCATAATGAAAAATTTTAAGTACCAAAACGTAATTTTCCAATGATATTTTTCGTATAAAAAATTAAATTTTAGGTACCAAAATGTAAAAAATAAAAATTATAGGTACTAAACCATAATTTGCCAATGATCCATGGATCCAATCCATGAATCCACCAATCCAATTTGATTTGGATAAAATGGATTGGATTAGGTGGATATTTTTTGGATTGATGGATTGGATTGGTGGATTGGATTAAAATTGCCACATCTACCATAGATCGTATAGATTGTCTGTTCTAGACCAGACCGCACCGTTTCCCAGCCCTACCTTTCGGTCACCAGTCTTTCAGATGTCTTTCAATAAAATTTGGTTCTTTCAATCATCAATCTTTTCCTTTTAACCAATTTTAATCACCAATCATTGAACATTTCGATAAACTTATGATCCTGATATAATACAGATACACAACATTTCCTTTGTCGTTTGTTTCCCCTTTTCTGGGATACATTACACTAGAGCTCAAAAGACGGGATCCATTTCGCGTGAAATTGCCATTACAATGCAGCTCGACCCATAAATCCACGACAACGAAGAATCAGTCATACCGGTCCCGACGGTGAGAGCTCCGTTTGCTTCTGTGATGCCTTACAGAATCCAAATCGTCGACCGAATGCCTGTGAGACGACTGCAAATGCCTTCTTGAACCACCGTGTTTCTTTCCGGGATGCCTGTCAGAATCGGAATCATCATCAGATGAAAACCTGTGAGCCTGCCTATGTCGGCTGCTGCTCTTGCTTCCATGATCCTTGTAGCTAGAAGAAGATGTCCGAGATTTCTTGCTCCTCCTACTTCTCTCATCTCTGTCTGAGTCTTCTTCATAAGAGCGACTATGCTTCTCCCCTGACTTTTCACTTCTGTGCCGCTGCTTGTATTCTGAATCTTCTGTTGAATGAATCCTGTGCTTGCTTTTCTTCGAGTGCCTATCACGAACTACCAAATCATCCGACGAACTTGGATCAGAGTGCTTCGACTTTTGTTCCCTTTTCTTATTCTTCTTCTTTTTCCTCTTTTCCTTCTTTGATCTCTGCTCCTCGCTCTCTGAAGAGGAAAAGGATAAAGCATTTTCTTCGTCCACTATTCTTTCTCTACTTGATGATGACTTGATCTTGCGTTTATGACTCTTGGACTTCTTTTTAAGCTTGGCAGGGGAAAAGTTGGTTAGCAAATCGGGGATAGCTCCACCGCTGAGAAAGCCTGCAGAATTTGGTGGTAATACAACAAAAATGAGAGCTGCAGCGGAAAGGAGACATACTGAAATGAGAATACAATGACAGTCTAGGGATAGGTGAAAGTTAATATACCTCCATATTCATCAAATATGTCCTCTGCAACGATCTGTTGATTAGGATCATCTGGATTAAAACCTCCCCGTGGAGGACTCATCCCTGGTTTTTGCTTTAGCTCCCACTTTAGCGGCTATACAGGCGAAACAAAATTGTAAATACAAATGAGAGATAAAGAAACTTCTTCACATATCTGTTACCTCTGCACATATCTTCAAAATTGTAAATGCAAATGAGAGATAAAGAAACTTCTTCAAATATCTTCGCAGCAACAGCGCAGTAAGAAATGTACGTTTTCTCCAGAAACAATATAATTCGTTCCCAGACCCCCTGCCCACCACCCTCATCTTCGCTCCTTATGCCACAGATTTTGAGTGAATGCCACTAAGTTACGGATTATTAACCCTTTTTACCCAAAGAAACATCCTTTTATCCGTGGCGAGGGAGCTTACATCTCAGTTAAGGCTTTGAGCAGAATTTTCAGGATGCCAAGCAACTCTTTAGAATAATCCGCTTAGAAGACAAAACAACCAAACATTCTGCCTCCGTGGATTCAAAAATAAAAATCGTTTTTTTTTTCTCCTTGACCCGTTTTGGTGATGGACCGTGTGCTTCAGCCTCATGAACTAAGAAACCCATAATATCATTCATTGTAAGATGTGGAAACTCCTAAAATAATAAAGAAAAACGTGTTCTTACGGCACAAACCTTCCTAAAATTAATCACCCATCCGATGTATTGTTAAAATCCTAGTAATATTCTTTGGCTACAAGACGAACCCAAAACTTCTTCCCTCCCCCAAACCTCTCCTATCTTCGAATACAACACCAAATCTTATGCACTAAAATTAGACATCAATGTGGTTTGCAAGTGGTCAATTACAAGCGCTTACCTCAGTTGGATCCATCTGAGCAATGATGGCAGTCAATGGATCATCGCGTTTTAGACGGCTCTCCTCATTTGGCATTATAGCATCTTTCAGGGGACATTCACGATCACCACTTTGGTGACCAAAGTTTCCACATCTTACACACTTCACATTTCGGATTTCGATTCCAAACGGTTTTGACCTTGACGCAACACCGGTATCTAGCCTGAAAATATCAACATTAGATAAGACAGTGTATGCACACAATACAGCGGCTAATCTTGCATTTATAGTGTCAACTTCAAACACACGAGAATATAAGCACCATCACATGCTCTTACTTTAACTTCGGCGGCTTTTATTAGTTCAACACCAGAAATGTAAAAGAGTTACAATACAAATGAGAAACATGTCATGTTAAGTCTAGTTCTGTAAGTGGAAATAAAACATAAGGAATCTACCATTCCTGGATGGAGTTTAGGAACTTCTATGTCATGTGTAGAGATGCCTAATGTAATGGTGTCTTCTCTTTCAAGACAACCGGAAAAGGGACAGGACCACTAACATTACCTCATTTTCTAATAGTGGAGCTCAATCAAAGAAGTAACAACTACGAGAATAGTTCAGAAAAGGTCAGTAGACAGACCGACAGAGACCTACAAAACCAACTAAAAGTGATCATATATCAACTTTCCAAGTTAAGACCCAGTCCCAAACCTTCCTCAAAAGTTTATGTTTGCTCTAATGGATAGACAGAACAGTTGAGACCCATATTCACTACATCAATGAAGTTACCATTTGCAATGACTAGAATTGTTGCCCATGAAATCCTTGCTTGATAGGCATGGAGTTAGAAAGGGGAAGTTGAGGTTTTAAAGAAATTAAATATCAAACCTAGTTCAGTCCGTATATAATTCCCCTAGATCTGCATGTACTGATGAGCTGCCTCATAAACCTTTTTGGAGCCTTCTCAACTCCTCTATGAGCTATTTAATTGCAGTAACAACAAAAAATTATGAAGACTCAAGCTCCTCAAATGGCAAGCCTTACAATGAGTTTTACGTAAAGAGGAATTGCAGTGAGATTTCGTCATCTAGAGAAGGTCCAGAAATTTGATAACTATTAGCAGAGTACATTCACATTATAGCCACTACCTTTCTATTTTGACACTAGATGGAGAGAAACTAAATTCTGACTTTCAGTAGACCAAAATGGCAATGTATATACTACGTACATACCTTGGAGCATTTTTTAGGACTTCAAACTGTTCTTCAGTGGGCAAAGTGCGACCAAAAACATCTTTAGGCCTTGGTTTCTTCTTTTCTTCGACTGGGAGGCCCTGGCTGGGCATACTTTCTGATTCCCTGAGAAGCAATTGAATCTTTTTAAGTTTACCAGAAGTTACTGCAAGAGACAACCCCCCCTAATACCACTGGAAGCCCTCTCTTTAAAAGAGAATTCCATGATCAAGCAAAAAACAAAGAAAGATTTAACATTGTGATACAAGTACATTACAGAGGAAGCTCACCCAACAGTCGGGTCCATAAGGGTACTATCTTGCACCTTTTTCTTATCCCCATCAGCAAGCTCTGCTGCCTTTGCACTTTCAGCATTATATCCAGGTGGGCGAATGTACATGAAACTAACAGCTTGCATCATCTCAATCTACGCATTATCACATGCACAACATTATAATCAAATAAAAGAGGCCAATAATTGATGGAACTGCAAATCGTATCGTTGCCAACGTCAAGAAGCCATAAGTGAGCGGGTTAAAACAAACCACCCAGTTCAAATAAGAGCCTAAAAATTGCTTGTCCTTCAACCCAGTAACAGAAACTAATGGCCTACAAAACCTCCCTAACGTAGTACAAAAGGTTGATAACTTCAGTTGACAAGACAATGAACGAACATTTCCATGGTTTGTCAAGCTGACGAGACAAGCTCATTCTAAGTTTCAAGCATGAGCTAAACAGTCGAATGAAATACCTTTTCCTTCTCTTTCTGGGAGATGAGAGATGTCTGGCGGAAGAATTCTTGCTCTTGAGCATACTGTAAAAGAAAAAAGCAAATACATCAACTTCAATTCGAATTCCAGAAGAGAAAAGATAGGGTTGGGGGATCGGTTAGAAACCTCGCGAGCAACTTCCTCGTTGCGGCGTTGTTGCTGGGCGGTGGTCTGCTCGGCGATCCACTTGCGGCGCTGGTTAGGATAGGAGAGAGGATGCCATGGCTTCTGGTTGAGGAAGGAGTGGCTCCAGGCGGTGCCGGACTTGGTCTTGTAATCAACTTCTCCATTGTTGATTCGCTTGCTCAGCCGTAGCCCTCCTCCTTCTTCTCCCTCCATTCTTCCCTCCGCCGTTCTCAGAATCCGTGCTCCTCAACTCGATGTTCTTCCCTAAACGACTCCCGATCCCAATTCACCTTGTTCAGAAACAGAAAAAAAAAATCCACAGTCGCGTCGCGCTTCCCGTCATTGGCAGTAAAACAACCGCCCTCGCCGTTTTGCCTAACGGCGACTAAAGAAGGATGGGTAAATTACATTAAAGGTCACCAAGTCTCACCTTTACTTTTTTAACGATAAATGACGATATAAAACAAGAAACCTAATGAGAGCGATTTTAAACTCGATAGGAAAATAATTTTTTTTGTCGTGCTATAAGTTGAGAATTGATAGTCTTAGAGATTGCACAAAAATTTAAATCTATGCCCTAAGGAAATGGAGATTCACGGCTTTAAAATCCTCTTTGAATGTGACTCCATAGAGAACGGTCATCTGTAGACTTCATCGCCAAGCCCGGAACATAACAATGAGAAGGATGAACGACAAAGTCGAAGTTGAGTTTGAGGTGAGGGAGACTAGCATGGAGGCACTGTAGGGAGGAGTGGAGAAGGAGGAGCAAAAAGATGGCATGCCATATTTTTCGGACTTGGTGAGCGAATTAAACAATGAGGCCTCAAAAACTATGTATTGTGGAACTTTCAAATTAAAAGTAAACATCCATCCGATCAGCATCCACGTCATCAAAATAATTTAATAAAAAACAAACAAAACCAAAACCAATTAAAGTCCATAATCAACCAAACAACTCAATCCAACCCGACCAATTCATCTCTCCGTCGCTATCTCCACATTGCCACCATTTAGGGATGGCTATTTGGTTCGGGTTTTTTGGTTTTACCCGAAACCGGACTGTATAACCCGGACCGAGACCGGATAGTAAACAATCCAATCCAATATTTGGGCTTAGATTTGAGGTAAAAACAGTTCGAGACCGGATCGAAAACTGGATAAAGACCGGATAAGAGAGCTCAACACACAAAACTTAAGGGTAATTTGCATAAATGGTCACAAACCTTTGCACTTAGTACAAAACTTAACCAACTCTTGAACCTTTAAGGCCTTAGGCCACTCAAATCCCCACAAGCTCAATATAAAATAAAAAGACCGAATTGGGACCGAACCAGGTCAAGACCGGATCGGATCAAGACCGGACTGTATCCAATCCAATCTTTGTTCCTTATATTTTCAAAAAGACCGAACTGGACCGGATCAATTTGGGCCAATTTAACCAGACCGGATCGTATAGCCACCCCTACCACCATCGAGAAAGACTTAGAACCTCCTTTTTGCTGCACATTTCCCGTAATTCTTTGTGCAAGGTGCATAAGAACCTATTGTAGGTCAAGATCCAAGTGGTTAGAGTCACCATTGCAATAAGCCCCATCAAACCCGGCATAACCCTTAAGTATCCAATAGATCGATCTTTCACCGTCTTCGCTATCGTTGCTAAAGGTTTGTCCGTTCTCCGACGATAATTGGGTTGGCTAAGACTTTTAAGTAGTTTTGATTTTTTTTGTTTATTATTAATAATTTCGTTGAGACGGTGTTGACGAGATGACTAATTGGACTGAAATAAAAGATTTTTCGACGAAAAAGGTCGAAAAGATCGTTTTAGTATACATTCAAACGTGTTTACCGTATTGTCAAAGTTTTTTTTTTTTTTGACAAAGTATTGTCAAAGTTAACTGTGTGACCATTTTGTATCTACACATCTACAAAATATATAATGGCAAAACATGAGTTCATTTTTCAGCATTTTGAAAATGGAGCCTCGGGAGTGATTTCCGGATGGGCTGTGTTGTAAATTCACAACAATTAAATGATGCTATGCGTTTAGAGCTCCACGGTCAAGTCCGCCTCCAGTTGGGCCATTAACGGTTCTGCGTTAATCTATCATATGGGCATGTTCTTCCTTCTTTCGCCTATCCAACCGACGTCGTCGGCCAACACGCTTTCCTCCAAATCAAACCCATCTCTCCTCCCCTGCTCTCCACCGCAAAGGCTAAGGCTGGCGCCGGAAGGAATGGCCACGGATGTGGAGGTCTTTCATGGCATGGCTACTCTCGCAGCAAAACTGTGTTGTACCCTATCGACACCTGCAAGACCAAATTCCAAGATGAACTCCGAGCTCGCTACCAGCGTAAGTGTAGGTACCTATATTCTCCTACTTCGTCTACTCCATGAACCCTTTTCTTCAATTTTCGGAAATTAAACATTGCCAACATCTCAGTTGGGGAAAGGCTTGACCTTTAGACCATGATTGACGATAAAATTCTTCTATATTAGCTTGCCTAATTAGGATTATTGTGCATAAATGTTGTTGTTGGATTTTGGGAAGCAATTAGTATGCATAAGGTTATTTCATTATACCCAGAGCTTAGAACGAAGAATGGGAAGGATTTCACTTCCATTTGTATTTTTATGGCTACACTTTCTTCAAGAGGCTCTACTTGGAGAAATTGGGCAGATAGCCATGGGAAAATCTAACTTGCTGATTGCTGCTGCTAGGGCTTAGTTGTAGCATTGACCATGTTAATTTTCTCTCTCCATTATATATGTTTGTTTTGCACCTTCTATTTTGAATCGAATTTGGGATATGAAGTTGGCATTAATTGTGTTACAGCCTTTGGGTACAACAACTTCAAGGATGAAAACCTATGAATTTGATAAACACAAAGATTCTGTAAAACCCTTTTGGAGGGGAATTGGGATGAGGCGTTCAATGGACTTGGTATATCATTAGGAGTGTCCATTCGGATTCGGTTTTTCGGGTTTACCCGAAACCGACCCCATTATATGCATTTTCGGGTTTTCGGGTTCGGGTTCGTTTCGGGTTTCGGGTTTTTCGATTTCGGGTTTGGTTTTGCTTATCGGGTTTTCGGGTTTCGTCTAAAAACCTCCAATGAATAGAACTCAGTCTGTATTCTTAGGCGTTCGGGTTTCGGTTTTGCTTTAACCGAACCCAAACCCGATAAGGAATTTTCGGGTTTCGGGTAACCGGAACCCGCAAGTCCTTATCGGATTCGGTTTTAGTGGTTTTTCGGTTTCGGGTTTTCGAATTTTTTCGAGTTTCGGTTCGGGTAACCGAACCTGACCCGAACCGACACCCCTATATATCATTGCTTCTCACTTCCAACTAGTGGCGTAGCCAGGAATTCACTTAAGGTAGGTCAAATATGAGAAAAAAATAAAATTTTAGGATGCATTTTCGTATATTGAATTTTTTTAAAAATTACATGCAAATTATGATGGATGTCATTCTTAAGTTATTTTGCGAAAAATGATTCATGATATCATCACTCATCTAATTCTAAAAGTGTTTTTTATGTTATTCATTGTTGTAAGGATTCTTTCAACACTTGCAATGACAACTAATATAGTCAAAATTGCGGTTTAAAGCTTAAAAACTTAAGTTTTTTATGCTTTTAGGTTACCAAAACGCTTCTACGCATAATCACAGTTATAATAACTAATTTAGTTGAAAACTGCACTTTAAATCTTAAAAGCTTACGGTTTTGCGCTTCAAAATCATCAAAACGCTTCTACGTAGAAACGCGCTTTTGACTACTTTGATGGCAACCAATAGCAACAAACACCAATAAGTTTTGAGTTTTCGTTTATATTAAAAAAGTCAGCTGGAAAATATATTAATCAGAAGTTAAATAGAGATCACAAAATATTACTTTTTCATAAAATTATTACAATGATAAGGAGATTATCTATCCAACCCACAATTACATAAAAAAAATTACTATAGTTTTGAGCCAAGGTGGTGCAAATGACCTACCTTAGCCCTAAGTGGCTCCGCCACTGCTTCCAACCCTACATACAAACCTTGGTGAAATCTCACCCCCTGGTTTTTGTCTATTGGACAACTTCATTTGGTTTTTGGGTTAGTTGATTATTAAGGGATGGTTTCTTTTGCTACAGTACATTGTATTTGATCAGTTGAAACAACCACTAATAAAGCATAAGCTTAACGAGAGATCCGTTGCTGCAGATGCATCTCTTGGGATACTTTCCACCTTCACTGCTTCTGTTCTCGGTTTAAGTATAGGTTGAAACAGAACTCAGCTGTGGGTTTACTTCTCTTTCTACATCTTCATTTCTTTCGGGGTTTCAGGTAGATTTCCTTCTCATTGATCAAAATGATGTCGTCGGGTGATTTCTTCCAGGTAAGATCCGTACCCCTCTTCTCCGATGTGGCATAAAATGCAGATTGCTATTTATATTGATAGCTTGGCGGAGTGAACCTAACTTTGCTAAACCTGTTTATGGTGTTTTCTTATCGGTTTCTTTGAGAACTTATATATCTATTAAAATCCGCACACTATTCTTGGTTGTGTGACTTTTACGTCATAAATTTACAACCATAGTTGCCTAATTATAGTTTGGTTGCTTCTTTGGGTCATTGTTTGTTGAATGCAATTATCTGATTATAGGTTTCATTTGTTGTGGTCGATTCTTTAATTGATAGTTTAATGATTCATTTTTCGCTGTTGGTCTCCATCTACAATTTTACTACTTGAAAATAGTAATCTGGATTCTACCAAAAAAAAAAAAAAAAAAAGAAAGTAACCTGGAATAGTAGTTATGTGGTATGAGGAGAAGTGAGAGCTACGAGTGGATTTAGCAAGCCGTTTAAGTAGATCCTACTTCTCCCTATGTTTGGCCCGACTTTTAGAAGTGTTTTTCGGCTTCAAAAGTCGAAGCAGGGCCAAACACCTCTAAAAGCTCGGCTTTTGAAAAGCCGAAAAGCGCTTTTGTATAACATAAAAACAGAAGCTCCGATTTGGAGCTTCTGCGAAAAGCTGTTTTGAAAATACAAGATTATCTTTACCATATTTTAATTTTATTTCATAAAATATAATTTTCCTTCATTTATATCATTTTAAAAATAAAATAAATTATAAAATCATATTATTTAATATAAAAGAAATCTAACAAGATCCATTTTGACTACTTTTTATTGTTCAGCATTTTTATTCATATTTTATATTATAAGTCCTTTATAGTCATTTTACACAACCTCTCATATTAAAAAACACTTCTAATAGTTTTACAACCAAACACTCAACTACTTTTTTTGAAAAGTACTTATCTAAAAACTCCAGCCAGAAGTTGCTTCTGCAAAAGCTACAACAGGGCCAAACATAGCTTATATATCGCACATGTCAAAGATGGATACACCTATACATAAGTATTGCCCTCTTCCGACCAAGGTTGACAATCCGCGGGTCGACTCGCGGTTGACCCACTTTGACCCTAACCCAGTGAGAAAAATGGATCGCATACATCCGCCAGGTCGACCGCTGCAAGGTATCGAGTTGTAGGTCAAACTGTATTGTTTTTTTCCTTTGGTTTGCGAAATGTGCCTATTTTTTTTTTCTTTTTTGCCTAACCCAATCTTATAAATTATAAGCTAGAAATTTGAATATTGATATTAAATAAGTGTATGAATTTTCACTATAAGTTGTATCTAAGCACGATAAGTTATTTTAGTGGAATGTTATATGTTATTATTAAAATTTGATATAATTTATAAATGTATGAATAATATAATAACTATTTTCATATGTCCAGCCTAAAGCGGTCGACCCATTAACCCTCAACCCACTTGCTCGATCAGACCAACAGACTAAATCGGGTTACCAACCTTAATCCGACCAACGGGTCGGGCTTTGTGCTAGTAATATAATACGCCGAAGGGAAAAACGGGAGCTCCATTTCAAATTTCCTGCAACGAGAGTGAAAGTAGGAAGGACATTTTGGTCTTCACAATTGCTTTTTTTTATTCATTAAAAAGACACGTACTGGGATTCGAACCATGACCATTTTAAAGAAAAGTAAGGATAATAACCAATCACACTAAGCACATTTGTTGTATCTTTTTAAATTAAAAACATATAATAGCAGGGAGGAAAAAATCCTTCCTCCATTTCAAATTCCCTGCTCCATGAGTGTTTGTAGGAAGGGCAGAATAGGAAGTGTCAATTTTTTTCTCTTTCCTCTGTGGAACGGGCCAACTTACCGTACACATGCGAATTTAAACGGGTCCAGGAGTGTCAATTTTTTTCTTTAAACCCTTTTATTTCTCCGTGGTGATAAAATATATATGAAAAGGAAAAACTAATACTCCTTTTTATTGTTAAACATAAAAAATTTAACAATAAACTAATGCATGGTATCTAATGGGCTAACCGCTAACCATAAAATAAAAGAGTTGAATGGGCCTGACCTACATGGGATTTGGCCATCAAGTAAAACAAATGAACATCATTGGTTTGTCATTCTAAAACAAGCTATTTTCTATTATGCTATTATTTTATATCTTAGTGGCTAAAATATAATGTATTTTAAAGTTATTCAATGGTTCAACCTCAACCAACACAATTAGTCCAATTTTTATCATTTCAAATATATATTTTATAATTATTTGATATCACAATGATCAAATTATAGTGTATTTTATAGGGAATCGTTTGGTATTTGTTAGTAAAAAACTAAACATAACGATCTATTTGGTTATTTTAAACATTATAACGATCCTAAACATTTTCAGTTCCTTTTGAATTTCCATGGTTTTAATCTCGATTAAGTGATGTGCAAATGGCGAATTGTAGTCGTCTCTTTTCTTTCACTATTTTTTTTATTTTCAAATAGAAAGTTTAAAAGTAAAGAATAATTAGAATTTGGCATGGGTCGATCGAACAGGCTGAATTTCAAGTTTTGGCCCGTTTGTTTTATGCATTGCAAATTTATTAGCATGTTGATGGAAATGGCTTGGAAAAAAGACATATAAGTTGTACCTTTGCAGAAATGTCCTCAAATGTTTGAATGCTTTGTGAATCAGGTTCCATGACTTTTGTGATGGTGTATGTGCTTGACGATTGCTCTTTTGATTTCCCCTATGAGTTGTGATACCAGTTCTGGTGGTTGCAGCATGTTGTCGTTGTTGGCCTGTAAAAGTTGTTCCACCGTGGTGCTAAATACCTTTCTTTCTTTTTTAACAAATTGTGTGGTAGTGCTATGAAACATACCACCCATGAATGTTACGCTTATTATGGTCTGTTCTTATTTCCGGTGGTGAGAAATTGTGAATTGAGAATCATATTCGCCTACCGCACTGTGTCTGGCTGGTGGCTGCTTACTGTGCTCTCTAGAGTTATGAAACAGACTACCCATGAACGTTATCCTTAAGAGTCCATAACTTTGCGAAAAACCAAATTTAGGCAATCAAAGGTGGTGGATGTATGATATTTTTTATGGCTTAATTGTTTGTGAATTGGATATATGACCTTTAGTAACTCAAAACCTTCGAGACACATATCACCTACTGCATTGTATCATTTTGCCTGGGTGCTTGCTGTGTTGTCAAACTTCTTTGCCGCCGCTGCTGCTTTTACACTAACAGGGGAGTTAAGAACCCATGAATGTTTCCGTTTGACACAAACAGGAGGACTTGCTTCTAAATCGTGCAGTTGATATACTGGAGACCAGAACAAAAGCAATGTATAACATCAAAACCAACCATCTGAACTATTAGCATTGTTGCTTTACTCTTTTTTCGTGGTTAGGTCTCCTTCAAAAAATTTAGTTTGATTTTAGAAAATTTTGCTTCTGCAGTCCTGTCTTGCCACCAACGCGTTCAGTAGATGGAGATGGCAGAGGCGAAGGCTATTTTTGTGTTGTTGTTGCTGGTTTAGGGATCGGTTTGTGAAGAAGAGGGAGAAGAGAGGGGGAAAGGGAAATGCAGGAGAGGGGGTTAACTCTTTTCTCTGACAAAAATGGAGTGAAGAAAGGAATTATGATCAGTAAGGATATGGTTATCTTACATAACTGTCTCTATTCTGTTGGAATTGAGCTTGGGAGGCAGTGATAAGGACGAGCTGCAACCAATTCATAGTGAGAAGAGAGCTATGAACTGTGATCATGTCCTATTTCAAGTTAGAAGGTAGTTTTGAGTATAAGGATTATTTAATTTGACAAGTTGTTTCGTCCATGATTCTTGGTAGTTTCAGTGCCATTCTAGCCATTGTTTAGTCTGTAATTTTTGAGAATTGATTTGCGAGTAATGACTTTCACTTAGCTTCACTATTATGCGTGTATTTATTGGCATGTGATAGAATTCTCTTTTCCTTTCTTTGAATTCAGTTTCATACTCTAATTGTATCATTTGTACATAGGCAAATCATGCTCGAGATGACAACTCGCCGATATGGCTGGTGCAAGGAACGAAGCCATCATTAGAATTCAGATCGACAACGGGGAGGGATGCCCAGGACTAATTCAATGATGATTGATGATGGTATAATAAAAACTGCAGTCTGCATCAGCACCAATTTCTAGGCCTAAGTAAAGTTATTCAACCAGAACTCTGCTTAGCGCTAAAAATTCCCATCACCCAACCTTGATCCTGTTTGACCCACTTATGAAGATTCAAGATATATGACTAATCCTCTCCGTTCGTATTTTCTTATTGACTCTTTCTGACCCTTTAGGTTGGGGCGGGTCGGGAAGAATCGGATTAGTGGGTCGGTCCTAAGCAAGTGGAATCCCAATTCCTTCTACTCTCACTTGCTTTTTCTCCTATTCCACAAGTGGGTAACATACACTAATCCGGCCAACGGGCCGGGTAATAGGCTAGTTAATTACAAAGATGTGTGGGTTTATGCTTAATTAGCATTGTATTCGGTCATTGTAACTAAAAACTGAAGAAAGAAAATTTCTAAAAAAATCAAAAGAGTGCAATGGCGAAAGAGAGACACACGCAGGCTCTGCATGGCGTTCGAACGGAGTCTCAACGATCTCTGCTGTTAATTTTGCAACTTGATCTGAATCCTAGCTTTGGTCCTCTGAATTGTTCTTCCGCCTCAAGATTGCATTTCTAATTTCAGAACGATTTCAAAGTTGTAGAGAACGCCTATTGGAGGTATGGTGTGTAGAAATCCCGGTTTCCTCACTCGCAATTTTGAAGGTACTACCATGATTTGCTCCTCCTTTCTCGATTCCAGATTTTGAAGCTTCCAATGGAAAATTGCAAGGCACAGGCCAGTGTGTTATTATTGGGACGACGCGTGAGAGCTCAACCACCAGCAAACAAGCTCGTAAGACTGGAAATTGAGGTATTTCGTTTCTGCTATATGCTTTATCAGTTGATTTTTCGCCCTTTTAACTTCAGCCGCGAATTGTTGTTCATGATCTTTTGTCTGTGCTTTCTGCTTGCGTCATTTACCCTGATTGTGATTGTGAATCATGGTGGTAATGGGGTCTTAATTATTAATTTGGTTAAATTGCTAAATTATCATCAGTCAAACTTCAATTTTAGGGTTTTCGTTTTCCTTTTACCTATGTCTATCATTGCTTGACCCATGGGGTTAAGAAGAATCACAGGATTATCTACACGTCTTTGACGACTAAGTGGAGTTCAAAGTTCAAACTCGCTTTTATCTCTCTCCATTCACTGTGTCTCATCATAGTTGAGTGCTTCACTTAAGTATAAAAGTGAGTTATCTTGCTTCTTTTCGGTCCGACAGATTACTGCCTGTCACTATCAATTGCTCATTACACTTTGGTTCCCAGTTAGCAACTATTTTCTCTAGTTTGTCCTGCCCATCGTCCTGGTCTTTTGGCAGCCCCCTTTATCCTGTCAAATTGTTATCAATGCATTGACTGGAAGCCATTAGAGTAAAAAAAAGCGACTTTTTGGCTTTGAGAACGATTCCTTCCTCAAAACAATTGTGCGGAGAACAGTTCTATGGAATATTTTTTGAGGACAATGTCCAATCACTTTCTGCCTTTCCCCCCTCACTTTGCCAGCAACATGAGATGTGCTTGTTACATCTGTATCTTAAATCTTAATATGTTTAATTTTGATATCAATATGCCTAAGTTAGGATTATGAGATCCCAAGTATGACAGATAGGTCTGACCATCCATTAACTAGGAGGAAAAATTCATCAAAATCTTCGAACCTTGGCCTCGAACCTACATCTAACATTATTTCTCTGTAGAAAGATGAGAAAACTCGTCAAAGTGTCTTCCTTGTAGAAGCGAAGCATTGCTAAACTCACCTCAACTGTACTCGATGAAGTGCGAAGTATGCAATGAGTCGATAACCTACCAACATCAAAGCCATAACGCACACGTCCATCCACAAATTGTCCAGCCCCATTGATTTGATGGCAGGATAATCTCCAACCCGGCACAAGACTCCCTTTGAACACTCATAGTAATCATCTTCTTTGTATTGCACTCCAAGAAGAAGCTTGTAGCAATAGTAGCTGTAGCTCAAGTACTTGAGCCAAACAATAAACGGAGGTATCTGTTGCACGTAGTACCCACCAGCAATGAGGAAGACCAGGGTTGTAACGGATGCCAGTGTAGTGGCTTGTTTTATGTCCATAAGAATAGCACCAATTGCTAATCCTAGACTTTGGGAGACCAGGACACTGTAGAGAACCACAATCAGGGACAGTATGAAAGTTATGGGATCAGGTTTAAGGCCTCCCATCCAATAGATTATGAAAACAAATGCTGTAGGGAGTGCAAGCTCCAATGGCAGGTCACCAAAGGTTCTGGCTAGAAAGTAGGATGATAGATGATACATTCCAGATGCCCGCTCCTTGATCAGCATTCTCCTTTCTTGGGGGAATGTGAAAACTGCATTGTAGAGAGGGTAGAAGCCCCAAAACACTGAGAAGAAGAACAACAATGCCGTCTGCATATGAAGTCAAACACTGCATCAGTATATAAGAGAAACCACGACCATAAGTTTATATATCACTAGCTATCTGCGTGCAACTAGAGTTATATGGCTGGTACTCCAAGTCCAAGGTTCACTAAGTATATGATAATTGATACGTTGTTGAAGTTCAAAGAATCTATTGAACCATAGTCAATGGTAGAAATCGTAAAATGTACTTGATGATGCTATAGATTGAATTCTTACTCGGTCCCCAATGTGAGATGTTGGGGTTTGCCACCAGAGGAGCCCGCCAAGTACTGCAACACTGATGACTTGGAAAATTCTCAGCCTGTTGAATGATTCAAAGCGCCGCTCCCTCAATCCCCTCTGAAATAGCACCTTGAACTGATGCCACCAGCTTGTAGACCACTCCTCTGAATTGGTATTTTTTCCTATACATTTTTTTTATATATATAATGGTGAGATCCTATACATTTATACATGGTTGAAACTTAGAATCCCACTAGAGACAGGTTGAATTTTGGGACAAGGGGATAAAATATACTTTATACTTACTTGCAGGGGTGTCTTTTATGTAGCTGAAGCTATTGACATCCAGATTGCACAGCTCCGCTTTTAGACTTGTTGAAATGTTCTTCTCGTAAGCAGAAATAAGAGTTTCCCTCACCAGCTTCTGCTCCTTTTCCATGTTCTCACCTTGATCACCTCCATTCCTATCAGGAGGAATACCTGCAATTTAGTTCCAAGTGTAAGATGTTTTTGTAATTGACAAAGATTATTCAAAATATGAAAGAATGGGAGATAGACAAAGCTAGGAATTACCATACTTATGATAAAATTAAATTGAAAAAGTAGTGGAACACTTCAGAAATTACCATTGGCGAGATCAAGTAAGAGATCAGATGGATTGACGGTCATGGATGTGGCGAAACCGATGGAGGAGAAGTAATCCAAGGCAGCTGATGCAGGACCATAATAGATTGGAGATCCCTCAGAGAGCAAAACTACCTTATCAAACATGTGGTACAATCGGCTTGAAGGCTGGTGAATGGTGGTAACTACTGTTCTGCCCCCATCAGCTAGCCGTTTGACCGTTGTAATAATTCTCTGAGCTGTAGTTGAGTCCAAACCTGATGTAGGCTCATCTAGTAGTAGTAAGCTCGGGTTGATTAGCATCTCTTGTCCTATGCTCACCCTCTTCTTCTCTCCTCCTGATATTCCTCTAAACAGTGGGCCACCTATCATGCTGTTTCTGCAGCGAGTCAATCCCAGCTCAATTATAACCTGCTCCACATGCTGGGCTTTCTCTTCCCAGGTTAAAGTTTTGGGAAGCCTTAACAGTGCAGTGAACATGAGAGTTTCAGTCACAGTTAGATGTGGATACAAAACATCATCTTGGGCTACAAACCCTGTGCGCCGCTTTATGACACCAGAAAACGGCTGTCCGTTGTATGTGATCTTTCCTGACAACTTCCCGTTGAGCCGGCCTCCGAGGGCTGTAAGGAGGGTGGTTTTACCACTGCCTGATGGACCCAACATAGCCAGGATCTCTCCTGGGCAAACCATTCCTGATATCCCATTCAGTATAGTTTTCTCTTTACCGTGCCATGTACCTCCCCAGCATGATCCTTTCGATTCCAGTTTAACTTTGTAGACCACCTCCTCAAACTGCAAAACGGAATAAAGGAGATATTGCATAAATCTCAAGTGACACTCCAAAGAAGTTAACCTTGTTGAGAAAGTTCTATCTGAATCTTTTTTTTTTTCTGTCCGTGATTAATCATTGTAGTTAGTAAGAGAAAGATATGTAATAATATGATGCGTTTGAATTAGGAGAAAGAGAGGAAAGTCAGTGACCTTCAAAGCTATGGGGAATACTCTGAGTTGGATGACAGATTGTGTCTCAGCTGTTTGTGGGTAGGCAAGCACGGCCGCATTACTGGGTTCATTCTTCCCTGACAAACCTTCCCCTGGGGCTTTGCTCTCATACTCTGGTTTTGGTGCAACACAGTTGACAGGCATGGTACTGAAAATGGTTCTAGATGGTTTCTATTAGCAAGAGAAGTTTACGATTTTGTTTAACTTGGCTCCTAAACTGAACTGGGGCACCCAAATATATAGTGGAGGGTACAATTCAAAATCTAGTGTGCTAAGTCTGATGTTGGTGGGGTCCCCATTACCTTTTCTTCTGAAAATATTCTGTCACTAACTGTTAGTTATATTTATTCTCATCTCTTTATGTGTTAGCTTTATTTTCGTCTTCTTTCTCTTTCTGACATACAATAGACTTATGGCAGGGGGCACACAAACCTCCATAGCTACTTGCTTTTAGACTTGTATGACTGGAATTGAGGCATGCCAGTGTTTATTTTTAGGAAGGGAGAAATGATGCATGCCATTGATAGAGGATTGATCATTTGTAGGAGTCTATCCCTACGCACAGCAATGCCTTTTCTTTCTTTCCGTTTGGAAATATCATACCTCCACTATGAGGCAAATCAGTGTGCTGCAATACACTGCTGATTTGGTGGCACAGGTCACATTTGCTAGATGTTTCCCTTTGTTTATTAGCTGCTTCTGATGCACTTCGTGCTTCACGATAGTTTCTTGGGTGCTAGTAGAATTGGAAAAAGAGAGTTTTGTTAGGTACTGCCTGCTAGACAAATGATGATGCTCGCCACTGATTCACACAAAAGTACCTAAGATTGCGAAGCAAGTGGGAACTCTTAAGGGCTATGTATTTCAGTACCTCAATTTGGAGGTCATTATCCCCCTCCCCCTCCAAACCCACACAGAAGAAGACAACTAAACAAAGGCAACTTGTACTCATTCCACCCCTCTTCAGATCATGTTAGGACATGGTTTGCATCTGTATCGTACATTCTATTGTGTGAATCCAAGTTATTGTTAGGACAAACAATAAGAATGTATTGATACATTCTTACTACTTGAAAGTTGGCAAGGGTCGTGGTGGCTATCAATTTACGCAAGACTTCTTATGTGGGTTTGGCTGTTAATAAACTTACCTGTCATGCAGGGATGATTTGTACATCACATCAGTCCTTTTGCAAATGGCCTCATGCTTGGGTGATTTGGTTGCCTAGAGAATCTGTATCTTGTCTCCCTATCTCATTCTCTACCTGCAGCCTTATTCAGGTAACCCTTTGATTTCTGTATCGAATTCCACTCCTTTGAGAATTTATAAAAGCTGTTACAGAAAAATCAATATGAGCATTTGTGAATTACAGTTTAAGTTATCTTCATTTGGGGGAATTGTGCTCGACGGTGCTTAAGAGAGTATTAAAATTGTGCCTTAATAAAAACAAATATTTATCTTACATTGTAAAAAAGTTCTGGCTGCATTTACTGTTCCATTTAAGGTTAGCTTGCTTGAATGCTTTCAATCTCCCATGTCTTATTTCGTTTCATAAGAGAAAAAGTTTAACGTGACAGTTGATTTCTATATCGTCCAAACATGAAGTAGAATCAAAAGGAAGACTCATCTTTGTTCTTTTTTTCTTTTTTGAGCTCTAAGCATATTATTATTTCTCTTGCTTAACAAAACTTATCAGTTCGTGCACTCAAAAGCAACGCTTAAAGCTAAGAGAAGTTGAGTTATTTTCACATGCTTTCTCTCAGTAGTCCAATGACAGTGACATGAACCACCCACGTTGTGTTGTATTGATTTTCAATTTTTGGAACCATTTCAAGTCATTCACTGAACTTGAGAAAAGAAAGGTGAATCCCTTGAGTTTCTGCTTATCTCATGAGTTTCTCACTGGCAACCTCCAAATTGTTCTTTGTTCTGATTCCTTCTCTGTAGGATATATCTTTTGATATAATGCTGTGCCAAGTTAAATTATGCAACAAAAATGCCATTATAGCCCATCTACACTCTGTTAATAATGAAAGTCGCGTTTCCTCCACGAATGCGAGGTATATCCTTGCTTTAACCGGGGGATTTTTCTCTCATCTTTATACCTTATCTTACAAGTTTTCGAGCATATGAAGAAATAAACGAGTAGGGAGCATGGGGGATTTGCCAAAATTAGTAGTAAAAGGGTGGGCGAGGGGTTGCTTTCCTTTTAATAGTGAATCCATTAGCCAACAAATTCTTATATTCCTTCTAAAAAGTCTGTGTTTTTCGATTTCTGGTGTTCACTGTATTTTTCAACATTCCTTTCCCCGTAATTTGATATGAGCATTGCAGCATTGCATGACTATGTATATTATTAATCTAAAATAAGATGTAGAGAAGGAGATAGAAAAGAAAAATTAAAGTGGAGATAGGGAGGGGGGGGGGGGGGGGGGTTAGATGCTATAAGCATAAATCTTAGGCGTATTATTCTCTCCTTTATCTCTCTCCTCCTTTGCACTTTGTTATTTTGCATATGAGAGAAATTATTGAAATGAGAACCCATCAATGGATTCCCATTTCTGTCAAATTCAAAAATAAAAATCATCGCAAGTATCATTTGTTGCAGAGCACTGAGATAAGAAATGTGGTTGTGTATGGGACCCTTTTGATCATTCTTTGTTTTATAAATCTTGCGAGAGTCATCTATGGGGCTACTTGGAGGTCCTTTGGATGCGCATAATATTTGAGTGCTTGGCTTCTTTATTTTCTACCCTCCATCTCAACTTGCATAATTATATGTATATTATCTGTATGTGTGTGTCCTTTTTTTATATAAGCATTTTGGGAGGGATTTCGGTTCCACTAGGCATGCCAGAGCCACCCCACCCTCTACTTTTTGTTTGGTTCAGTTTTTTTCTCTTTTTGTTTTTGGCCCCCCCTACGCATTCATTTTTTACTCTCATTGTTCTAATTTCGCTTATAGTTCCAGACTCCTGTCTGGTATTGATTCGCTTTGCTTTTTATCACCACACAGTTTTTGTGATACCATTTGACAGTGAAAGTGTTCTCTGTGTAGGATGATGGGGTTTGAAATTCCACTTAATTATCTTATATATAATATTATATTCACTTTCATTATCAATCATTGAGTACTGGCTGCTCGTAATTCTTATTCTTTGTGTTCAGTTGACTGATTAACTTAATCTTGAATCAGATGTAGTATTCTTGTCGGTCATTGCTGTGATGGAGAATCATGATTTCTTTCCCTTGTTTGCTTAATTTTTTTTCTTTATGCGCTCTTGTTGAATTGTTAATGTGGCGTTCGAACGTTTACTCTCGAAGGAGTTGTGAAACCCTTGAGCTCTATGTGGTCATTGGTACCCTCTAGCGATTTCTGCACAAATGAGAATACGATAACGAAAGGTATCAAACTTAGTTATTATAAGGTTTTTTTCTTGAACTTTGATATCATAATAATTCAGGCAGAAAATGTTATCTAGGTAATGCCGAGTTCAAGGCTTGAACTTACATGTAGTTTTGTTCTGTATACGATACTAGGATTTATGTTTGAACCTTGATAGATAACAGTTGATACTCGGGAGATCAAGGTTTGAGCCTAGGTTTGAGTATTAACAGTATGAGATCAAGTAAATCCTTGATCGAGTATCACCTATTATCTTGGTAACAGTTTGGCTGTCCCCTCGATCAAAGGAGTATCTCCTATTAGCTATATACCTACCATCCTATCTCTTGTCTAGATGATAGGTGATAGGAAACTGCAAGCATTTACCAGGTAATCCTTGATCGATCATGAGTGCGGAAGAAAGTGTTTAAACCAACTAATATTTAATTAGCTAAATACTAGATAATGCTCCATGGGTTAATTTGTGGTGTGTGAGAACTGGCACACTGCGGAGGGGAGAGCCCAAAGTTCTGAAACGAATAAGCTGCTTGATCCCAGCTTCAAACTGGAACAGCACCAATAATATCAAGATTTCTACAGTCTGGACTGTGAATTGTATTGCAGATCAGTTTGAATTTTGAAGATTTTCCCTTTTTTATCCCACTAACGTGTTTTTTCTTCTTATCGTTTGGCTTTGCTGCGCAGGACAAACATGCTACGAAATGCGGATTGAGAGGGTCTGGACTCGGGAATACACAGGTTGCTCAGGGGGGACGACGCTATTTCTGCAGAATGGTTTGTGCATCATATTGGTAAAGCTTTATTGTATCTGCAGAAACTTCGGATGAGTGGGGCAGACCCATATTCTTTTAGGTGTTTCAGTCTACATAGCTGTATCCGAATCAGATCAAATCAGCACCATTATAGATCGAAAATGAATTATGTCGAAGCAAATTGAATCAAACAAGTCTTTTGGTCCCATTACCTTTTGTTTCAAGGGCTTAAATTAGATGACTGAATCGAGACAACCGGGACAGTTTCTAAGTCGAGAATTAGAGCCTTATTCGAATCATGCATCGAATTGGTTTGACAGGGCTGTTGCTTTTAATGTGCTTATAAGGTAGGTTTTCAGTTTGCTGGTGGCTTCATGTGTACATTCAACTCTGCAAATGCTTGTTGCATTCCCAGTTTTCTAGTTTGTATTATCTCAAAAGATTTTGCTGCTCAGTTGTTCGTAACACATTACTTTGTCCAGTGCAGGTTCGGTCGAATGGTTTATGGTTGTGGTGTCGAACTTTGAACTCAGAGATCCCAAGTTTCAGAATCCATAACGCACAATCTGCTCAGTTTATCATGGCCAACGTAATTAAGGTTGGTTCTCCTTTTTTTCTTATGTTGTGATTTCACATTTCTTAAATTATAGTAACCTTAACCTTAAAGTCGGCTTAGTACAAAACAAATAATCAACCTAAACGTGACACTTAACTGACCTAAGCCAAGTGCAGAGCAGAGGAACTGGTTTGGAGTTTTATTTGTGTCCATGTGGCCCTCTTTTCTTTTGGTCCTTTTCAGCTTTATTTCTCGCCACACTTTTTTTTTTAATAAAGTTTTTTCTTTTTTGGGTCTAGGGCTCTCGTGCTAACCTTTTTATCTTTAACTCAAACGTTTCAGGCTGAGTGCTTAGAATATAATAATAGTAGTGACTGCCTGATCTATCTACCAAAATGGAAAGATTACAAACAATATTAGTGTAGTTCCAGAAAAGTTACTTAGTGACAAGAGTTAGGTTGCACTAAAACAAAAACTTTGAGGACTTGAGATCAGCCCCGAATGGCGCGCGGGACAGGTATCTTGATATCTATATTGTATTCATATTTATTTCTTAACATGTCAGGTTTAAGTCCGATATTTTATTTCGGAATGCTAGTCGAGGCATGTCAATTTATACGAGTATGTATTTCAAAGAAGAAGAAGAAAAAAAACCCCTTGAGACATTAATTTTTTACATTAAAAATTTGAGAAACAAACTATATAATATGATAGATGAAAAAATGTTATCTAAATCTCAGGCTAATTCTACAATACTGATTATTTTTGTATGTTAGAATAGAATAGAATAAAATCCCGTTAACTTACTAATATTTCTACTCTTAACCCTGAAATTCATTGCAGCTACGTGACGATTGATGATAAATTTGTTGGACTAAGATAAACCGATGAATTATATTAGATAAAATTAAGGGTTTATACCTTAATTTGGCCCGAACTATAGACAAACTTTCTACATTGGTCCGTGGTATCGGAAATTGCTATCCTGGCCTAAACTATGTAGCATATTTTCTTATTTGGCCCGGAGGCGGGTTTGACCGTTAAATTAGACGGTCAACTCGTCAAGGTCCACCTCACTTGCCATTTCAGCTATCAGGGAATAAAAAATTAATTTTTGAATTTTGAATTTTTTGAATTTTGTTTACTTTCTAACAATAAAAATAATAAATGAAAAAAAATTAATTAAAAGAGCTCTCCAAATGATTTTTAATTAATTTTAGAAACTAAACAAAATTAAAAAATTCATAAAAATTAATTTTCTATTTCCCGATAGCTGACGTGGCAAGTGATGTGGACTTTGACTAACGGTAAACTCGGTTGACCGTCTAATTTGACGGTCAAACCCACCTCCGGGCCAAATAAGAAAGTATGTTACATAGTTTAGGCCAGATTAGCAATTTCCGATATCACGGGCCAAAGTTGAAAATTTGTCTATAGTTCGGGCCAAACTAATGTATTAACCCTTGAATTTGTTGGAATTCATCACAAGGATCAGTTCACTGAGTTGGGAAGTCGACACGTGGCAAGCACTCTGGCGGCCCAATAAAATGGTGGGTGGGGGAGACATTGGAATTGGATATCATATAAGGCCGGGCTGGTGGGGGCCTCAGTTTGTTTGTGCGGTCTGAAAAGGTGAAAATAGATTATGCTTACGCCCCAATTTGGATCTACCAAATCATTTGGTTGGACAGGCCCATGTCTTATTAGGCCCACCTACCCACTCAGCAGTCAGCATGCTCTCTTTTCTTTGGACAGATCATTTCATATTTTTAATTATTGCTGTGTTTAAAAAAAAAAATTAAATAGGGCGTTTAAATGTTCATTTAGATCAACTGCGGGTGTGAGGCTCAACTTATCAAAATACCCCCGATAAGAGAGTGGTATTGCTTGGTACATTGAAAACATGGATCCCTAGAGGTAAGCAGTCTCTTAACGACGCTCTATAATTCGCGACATAGTTCTTCTCCTCGCGATAAACATGCTCTATCATGACTTGTCAAGGCTGAGGAAGCTCAATGTCGAATCTCTGCAAAAACACACATAGTGTGGATGGTGTGGAGTAGCAATCTCTATCGAGATATTGGTT